AGACAGGAGCTGATAGCTGAAGGCTCTGCCTCCCATTCTGCTTCTAGAAACTCTGGGAACCACCAGTAGACCTGCAGTCTGAGAGCGAAGGGCTCTGTTAGGATGATATGGAACAATCAGGTCTTTAAGATACGATGGAGCCTGATCATTAAGACTTTCATATGTTAGAAGCAGGATTTTAAATTGGATCTGCCTACCTGTCTACCTACCTAAATGCAAAGGACGCATACGGTGCCACCGCCCTCCCCCCACTCGGCAGATCTGATCACAACCTGGTCCTTCTGACACCGAAGTATGTTCCTCTTGTTCAACGGCAGCCTGCTTCCACAAGGACTGTTAGGAGGTGGAATCAGGAGGCCAAGGAGGCTCTGCAGGACTGCTTTGAGTCAACCAACTGGGAAGTGCTATGTGATCCACATGGGGGGGACCTCAACAACATGACAGACTGCATCACAGAATACATAAAACAAACCACCCTGCCAGCCAAGACCATATGCTGCTTCCCAAACAACAAACCCTGGATCACCAGTGACCTGAAAGTCCTCCTCAACAAGAAGAAGAAGGCCTTCAGGTCTGGGGACAAGGAGGAAATGAGGAGGCTACAGCAAGACCTGAAGGTGGAGCTGAGGAGGGCCAAGGACTCCTACAGGAGGAAGCTGGAGGCCAAACTCGAGCGGAACAACACGAGAGGTGTTTGGACTGGAATGAGGGAGATCACTGGCTTCAATGTGAGACACAGACAGCCAGTGAGCAGCCCGGACAGAACCAATGAGCCGAACTGGTTCTGGAACAGATTCAGTTCACAGCCCTCAGCTACTTTATTTGTATTTTTTAAATATTGTTTAACTTTATCCCTTTTCTGTTGTGATTGGTGTTTTTTCTTGCTGCTGCTGTATCACAGTAATTTCCCAGACTGGGATAAATAAAGTATTTTTCTATTCTATTCTATTCAGACACACAACAGACACACAACACACAACAGACACACAACAGACACACACAGAAACTCACTCAGGTGAGCTGTGGTTCCGCCCCTCACAGACAAGGGATACGTCTACCTGTGGGCCTCAGGTGAGACTCACCTGTCGGCGGTCCTCCATCAGTCGGTTCAGCTGTCTGTGGAGGTCGACGCCCACCCCGCCCCCATTGTCCTCTGGACCCGAAATAACCGGTCTATCACCACGGAAACCTCCACCATCGTCACCACACACCTGACAGGAAGCAGGTTGGTGGAGCCACACTCTGATTGATTGATTGATTGATTGATTGATTGATTGATTGATTGATTGATTGATTGATTGATTGATTGATAGGTATGCAAGCACCCTCACATTGGTTCGGGTGCAGCTGGATCAGACAGGAAGTTACATGGCGACTGCGTCCAATGACGACGACATCGAGGAGGTCGTTTTCAACCTGCAGGTTGAAGGTCAGGATAGTGGACAGGTCACTGTTTACCTGTGGGCTTTACCTGTGTTTACCTGTGGGCT